TCAGTCCACTGCAGATTTTCTTTCTGCAGAGAGGTCATGCCAGGAAGGCGAATGCTGAACACAAACTGAGAAAGGAAGCAGGAAGACGAGGATCTGAATGGTCGAACAGTAGGTCAGCTGAAGGCCCGTACTGGAAGGAAGCCAGAGAATGAGTGCAAGCCAAGAACATATGACCAGAGACAAGCCTGAAGAGAACAATTTTTAAATTTGTGGGTGCCTTGGGCACCCACTTGTTTAGAAAAAAATATATAGAATACCTTCTTTGAGATGCTTCACTATATAGAATTCTCATCAACCTGTAGATACAAGCGAGGTGATGTTAATACCAATTCCAAAACTATGAGGCTCTTCACCTTCTTGGTCACATAGGAACTCAATTTCCTCTTCCCAGTCTCCCTGGGCCATTTCTGGGAGTCAGGGGTTGTGGATTCTCATCAGCTCAAGGACAAACTTGATCAAGTTGTTCTCCTCTGGCCTCCTTGCCAAGGTGCCTCACCAGCCACAGCCTCTGGGGCTACCGCCACCTTGGAGAACCTGTTCTGCGAACTCTGAGACCTTTCTCCCCACCCCATCCACCCTCTGCAGGGGAGGGGTGTGTATGTTCTTTGCGGAGTATGTATAGGGTGGGGTGTGGGGTCAGAAAGGAGAACCACCCCATTTCCAAATCAATGTCTAAAGTCTGTCATGAACTCAATTCCCCTTATTTCTCTTCCTGACCTCAACCTCTGCTGAAGTCCCAAACAGGTCCCCTGCGGTTGAATTGAAGAAAAGGAAAGGTTGACATATTTCAGTCCTCCCTCTCAGTGTCCTATCCACTGTATCTCTCTAGTCACCAAAGAACAAATATTGACTGAACATTGTAGTGTATTGAATGTGAAATGCAGCTCTTTGCCCATTTCTGTGTCTGTGAGCCACTCGGCTCCTCCCACTGAGGACTGGAATCTTCCCCACCCCCTTGACTTGGGGCTGGCCTGTGACTGGCCTTGCTCAGCTGAATGGAGCCAAAGTGATGATGTGTCCATTCCAAGCCTGCACCTTGAGAGGCCTGAGCACTTCCACTCACTCTTGGCTCCTCAACACACCCTAGGACAGTCTGGCTTAGGCTTCAGGCTGAGAAAAACTCGCCTCAGCTCCCAGCCAGTCACCCACCCAGCAGAGCCCAAAAGAACTGCCCTGCCAACATCAGCAGATGTTTGGAGATGACCTGCTTTTGCATGAGAGGGTCCAAGGAGAACCAAAGAACCACTCAACTAAACCGCACATCTGTGGACTAAATAAAGTCATTTGAAACCACTGGATCTTATGTTTATTGTTGTTCAGTCGCTCAGTCGTGTCTGACTCTTTGCGACCCCATGGACTGCAGCATTCCAGGCTTCCCTGTCCTTCACCATCTCCCGGAGCTTGATCAAACTCACGTCCGTTGAGTCGGTGATGCCATCCAACCATCTCATCCTCTGTTGTCCCCTTCTCCTCCTGCCTTCAATCTTTCCCAGCATCCGGTTCTTTTCCAATGAGTTGGCTTTCGAATCAGGTGGTCAAAGTATTGGAGTTTCAGCTTCAGCATCAGTCCTTCCAATGAATATTCAGGACTGATTTCCTTTAGGATTGACTGGTTTGATCTCCTTGCAGTCCGAGGGACTCTCAAGAGTCTTCTCCATCACCACAGTTCAAAAGCATCAATTCTTCAACACTCAGCCTTCTTTATTCAACTCACACATCCATACATGACTACTGGAAAAAACATAGCTTCAACTATACAAACATTTGTTCTCAGAGTAATGTCTCTGCTTTTTAATATGCTGTCTAGTTTTGGCATAGCTTTCTTCCAAGGAATAAGCGCCTTTTAATTTCATGGCTGCAGTCACCATCTGCAATGATTTTGGAGCCCAAGAAAATAAAGTCTGTCAGTTTTTCCATCATTTCCCCATCTGTTTTCCATGAAGTGATGGGAGCAGATGCCATGATCTTAGCTGGTGTTGTTTTTTTTTAGAGTTTCTTTTTTATTAATATATTAAATTGGAGGCTAATTACTTTACGATATTGTGGTGGGTTTTGCCATACAACGGCATGAATGAGCCACAGGTGTACATGTGACCCACCATCTTGAACCCCCCTCTACTTCCCTCCCCACCCTATTCCTCTAAGTTGTACCAGAGCACCAGCTTGGATGCCTTGCTTCATGCACATGATCTTAGTTTTTACACAGCGTTATTGTGACTAGGGGCTTCCCTGGGGGCTCAGACGGTAAAGCATCTACCTGCAATGCAAGAGACCTGGGTTCAATCCCTGGGTAAGGAAGACCTTCTGGAGAAAGAAATGGCAGTCCACTCCAACTGCCATTTGTAGTGGGAAATTTGGTGGACAGAGGAGCCTGGCAGGCCCCAGTCCATTGGATTGCAAAGAGTCAGACATGACTAAGCAACTAACACACACACATTGTGACAAGAGGTAAATACAGCCCTCTTCCAACATCCAAAATCAAAGTTTTGTTGCAGATTCAAACACCCTCTGAAAAGCTTAACAAATAGCCAAACTGTAATTCTCCATATAAATTCAGTCAGGACACCCAGCTTCCTTTGCAAGAAATAGCCTGTGGTAGGGAGACTATAAGATGGAGATATTTTAATTTCCCCAGGAGGTCTAAGGGAAAACTAGTTAGCTTGCTGGAAGGAGACACACATGAGAAGTATGGGTGTGGGAATGTCCTCCCAACCTCCCAGAGGGCCACAGAGACCACAGTAGTTTGGGGTGGACAGTATTTCTTGTGCGGATTGGTAAGGGAGGCCAATCTCCCCATGTTGAACTGAGTTAGGTCTGAACTGAGACAAGTGCAGCAGGAACCGGGGGAAGACCCGGAGCTGCCCCAGGCTCTGGATCCAAGGCATAAGCCAAGCCTGTTTGCCCACTTTGAGGGCAAGGAAGCCCTCCAGTGGGGATCTGAGTAACACGTTATTAAACTCAGTTTACAGTCTGTCTTAAGCCTCTTTCAGTATGACGGGTGCCTTATCTAATTCTAGCCCTGGGTAGCTAGGACTCCATGTTGTAACCTCCAGTGATAACCTTCCTTGGCAGAAGCGCAGGGTAGAACGCTGTTAAGTGTGCGGATGGCGGTCCCTAAGGCCCCCTTCTCTCTACTCAGATTACAGAGCAGTCCCCAGTCATTTTGTTATCAGAGACCAATTTCATGGAAGACAATTTTTCCACGAACCAGGGGTGGGAAGGAATGGTTTGGGGATGATTCAAATGTATTCGATTTATTGCACTGTATTTGTCTCTTATCACACCGTGTGTCACTCTATTTCTATTCTAATGCTGCCGCCGATCTGACAGGAGGTACTGGTCCACGTCCCAGAGGTTAGGGGCCCCTGGGTTGCAGGGAAGGTCTTCCGCCTTTTTTGTCTCTGCCTCTGCATGTGTTATTTCTGCTATGCTGTGCTTAGCTGTTCAGTCATGTCCAATTCTTTGTGAACCCATGGAGCCCATCAGGCTCCTCAAAAAAGTCCACGGGGATTCTCCAAGCAAGAATACTGGAGTGGGTTGCCATGCCCTCCTCCTGGGATCTTCCCTTCGGTCCCCCTTCAATATCTTCCCAACTCAGGGATCGAACACAGGTCTCCCAGGTTTTTTACATTCTCAGCCACCAGGGAAGCCCAAGGATACTGTGTATAGCGTTTGCATACCATGGGCAGATAAGTGGAGTCTGAGTTATGTGGGCAGCTCTGAAGTGTTCCACTGGGCTGTATGCATGGGACTCCTTCCAGGCTGTGGACCTGCATTTACCCGTCCACCAGTCAGAGCAAAGCTACCCACAGACCAGCTGTTCAGGCCATTAGCTGGAAATCTCAGGATTGACCACAGGCCACAGGTGCAGAGAAAACAATTTTAAAAATTAGTTGCTAATGGCCGATTTCTGGTTTGGTTTATCCTCTTGAGTGATTAAAAAAAGAAAAAAAAAAAGGGTGAACATAGAAAAATCCTTCTTAACTTGATAGCTTAGGCTCTTGGTTCTCTTGGGGCAGTAGTGAGGGGGTTGAGTCAGGCACTTGAGGTGGTTACTACATGCCTGCTCCCTCATAAGCTTTTCTGGACATTTTCCACTACAGTCATGGTTTTATAGCATGCGTGGGTGCGTGCTAAGTTGCTTCAGTCTTGTCTGACCCTTCGCAACCCTCTGGACTGTAGCCCACCAGGCTCCTCTGTTCATAGAATTCTCCAGGCAAGAATACTGGAGTGGGTTGCCATGCCCTCCTCCTCCTCCAGGGGATCTTCCGACCCAGAGATTGAACCTGAGTCTCTTACATCTCCCACATTGGCAGGCAGGCTCTTTGCCACTAGCGCCACCTGGGAAGCCCTGGTTATATAGGGATGGTCTTACTTGTTTGATACCTTGGCCTTGGGTGGTTTGGGGCAGGGGGATATTGACTTGATGTGTGAGAGGTAGGTAAGGGAGGTGATTGCGGGTCTGGCTCTGGATTGGTTGTATTCCATGTCAAAACCATGCTTACAAGTTGGTTGTTTGCTGTCTGTCTCAAGGAATTAGCTAATCCTGGAAGGGACAATCCTTCCTGCTCAACCCCAAAGGCCCCAGTGTGTCAAAGCATCCGAAAACAGATAATAAAAAAACATAGTGAATACAGCAAGCTTAGAGAATTTCTCTACTACCAGCCCTGAGTGACTGAATCACCAGGAACACTTTTTAATCTCTGGGCTGTCTTTCAAGGCCGTGCAGTTCACAACTCAGTATTCTGACCCCTAACTATTTACAGAAATCATTCTCACCATCTCACTCCAGCGCTCTTGACCCGGAGCCATTCTTTGCTTTTTCAGAAAGCAAATGGGATTAAAGTCCAGGGCTGGGACTTCCTTCTTGGAGTGTTTGACAAGGACTGACGTACTCTAGGCCCTTTGAATCCCGGAAGTCCAGGACACACCCAGCCTTGGGTGCAGCATCCTGAATGCCGGAGAGAAGGTAAAAGGACTGAAGCAAACAGCATTTCACCATGAGGGACCCACTGACAGACTGTTCGGTGAGTAGCTGTGTGTGGTTTGCATGCCTGCGTGTGAGAGGCGGCTGAGGGGTAGATTTATATACTAATGGATTTGAACTTAAGGAATTTGAGACGCTCAGAAGCCAAACATGTTTGGATATTGGCACTGGAACAAAAGTCTGTGGTTGTTCTTTGGTTTAATTTAAAACAGAGCTCTTTCTAGCAAATGACAGGGCAGGTAATTGTCATATTTTATTTTCCTATTCTTGGAAAAACTTTGAGAGGGTATAACATTATATTTACATGCAGATGGTGGTTGTTCGGAAAACATACCAGCGGTGCCAATATAGGACATAGCATGGACACACAAACATGCAGAATATCTTCAGCCAGTTTGGGGCCCTGGGAATTTAATCGGGTGCAAGGGTTTTGCGTATTTTCCCCTTTCATTTAGAGTCCAGAACTGCAAGTTCCGAAGGAGGAAGTACAGGCTGCACTCTGTCCAGCCTGCGGTAGTCCTTGGACATGTTTACTGACTTGTATATTACAATCCTGGGAGCATTAATAAAAACAGAAAGTTGGTCAAAAGTGCAGAGACATTGTGAGGTCGTTAGCTACAAGAGCAGAGATGTAATTTAGGAAATGAGAAGCAATTAAAACAAAGGGTCGGGGGGGTGGGGGGAAGGAAATAAAGTAATCAAGGATTGTCATTGTGTTGTCCCAAGAAATGACGCCAAAAAGCTAAAATTGGTGACATCAGAAGCAAGGGACTGCATTCATCCTTCAAGTATTTTATTTAAAAACAAAAAAAGGTGGAGAAGCAGATCAACAGGGGCTGTAATAAAACCCTAAAGAAAAAGATCAACAGAGAATTATTGATTTCATTTGTGTTTATTCAATGGATGTGGAAAGTATAGGCTTAGTGAAGATGAAACTGTAACTGTCATCCCACCAAATGAGTCAGGAATCAGACGTGCTAAATGAAATAAAGTCACAGCGGCTAGTAATAGTAATAATGAGAACATAGTAACAGGCTCTGCCTACTTTTACTTTTTAAAATATAATAGTAATATGTGTATTACTATTGTGTTACTATTGTTTTTACAAATAGTAATATGTGTATTACTATTTGTAAAAAAAAAAAATCCAACAATATGGTTGCATTCAGATTTTAAGAGTGAAACCTCTTCCCTTAGATTTCCTCCAGCAATCTTTTCACTTTTTGGTAAGCAAAGATGACTTTTCAAAAAGTCTTTTATCATTTATGTATTTGTTATTTGCTTATTTTTCACTCGTTGCATTTGCTCCCTTACTAAAATGTTAACTCCTCTCCTTTCTCCCCTTCGATACTTTGGTGATGTTTTTGCATGGGGTGGGTGAATGGATGGGGGGATACAATAAGTGGAGGCAAAAACTTGGCATTGATGATCACTAAAGGAGAAAGTCAGGAATATGAGAAGAGTGAGATAGTGGAGAGGAAAGCCAGGATAAGTTAAAAAAAAAAACTAAAAGCCTAACATTCCTTTCCAAGGCTGACTCTAGATCCAGAACTAGGAGAAACGTTTCCTTTGAGCAGCTCCCGGGACAACTCATAACCATATTTCTATGTCAGCTTAATTCTCCCTCCCTGACAAGCTCAGGTCCTTTTCCCTACACTGGACCATTGCCCCAAGAACTCTTGTCCTTGTCTGCAAACTTGAAGGTTGTCTCTGTAGGCCCAGTGCCACCAATCGTAGTCTGGGAGTCGAGAGTGGGAGGATATTCCTTCACCCAGGGTTTCTGACTCCTCTAAAGTCAAGGAATCTTTATTTATTTGTAACTGTTTCATCTCCATCAAGCATTGGAGTTGATTTCCTGGTGCAGTCCTGGCTTGTGCTTGGGGAACAATGCTGTGTGAAGATGAGCTTGCAATTTGGGAACAGAATAAAACAATAGAGTGGACTGCAAAAGATTGCTTTGTGAAACACAGAGTTTCGTGGAGAAACCAAAATGAGTCCAAAGGTTTAACCACCTGTAAAATATCCCATTTCATGTGTCCCTGAGGTTGCACAGGGCACAATTAATTCATAAAGCCTTCCTGAGTCCATCTATCACAACATTGTTAATCAGCTATACCCCAAAACAAAATAAAAAGTTTAAGTAATAGTTAAGAGGTTAGTTATATAAAATATTATACTATCTTGAACTTGGGGAAAGAGTAGGTGCTGATTAAGGCATTGTGTTGTACCAATATTCCTACATTAAAAAGAACTCGTAAAGGTGTAGCTTAGCTACAGTTCTGAACTTGGTCTACCCCAGTAGATCCATATATGGAAATCAGTGGGTTGAGTGACCTTCAATGGGAAAAAACATGACCTCTTTATTTGTGTTAGTTTCTAACTGTAACTAAGAATTTCCCCCCAATTTTGAATGTAAGTAGCAAACCCTAATACAACAGCAGTGTCTGTGACCTTGTGACTAATGAAAATCACTTATATTTTTATATAGCATTAGAGTTGGTTACAGGTATCTAGAAATATCATTTACACACACTCAGTGTAACTTAAAAATTTGAGTAGTTTTGAAGACCTGTTATTTAGTATGTTAATTAAAGAGCACACAAATATCCTGATTTTAAATTACATTTTATAAAACATATATCAATATAGTTTTCCTTATAATCCTGTTATTTTTATGAATTTGAAAATATTTTTATGAGTAAAATAGGTTTCACTACTCTGCAAAAAAAATTTATAAACTTCTTTTAGGTCATGCTCCAGTGAACAAAATAGGCTGATAGCTGGGCCATTCTACCTCACAGATCCAGGTTAGTGTCTATACTCAAATTATCAGTCACTAGGGTAGCACACACATTGCTTGAGTGGTGTGTAGGGCTTTTACCTAATCTTGAGACTGTCAGAATTTATTTGAAGGAGATTTTTTTTAAAGTCCTGTTTTTGAAAAAGGAAAGAATTGGCTCTGGGCCTTGATGCTTTAATGCCTGTGAACTTAGCTTCTAAACCTAAAAATATGCCAAGGGAAATCATTTTCAAATCCATGTGTAAAGAAACAGACTGGATCAAATTATCTTCAAATGAATAATCTAATCATTAAAAAAAAAATAACACCTTCCTAAGAAACAATGCCGAAGAAATCAAGCTCAAATAATAAGCTATAGCTAAGGTTTTGCTCTTACTCACTCCTTCACTATCCAGGAAGGGACTGTCATTTCTTGGGTCCACATAGTCAGCCTCTTGGGGCCACACAGTCAGCTGTTGAAACAGTCCTGTGGGTTCAGATGCCAACTTGAGCTTCCCATTTCAGTGGTCCAGCCTGGGCGGTGGGATGTTGACTCACACTATGTTACCTGGCACGAATAGAGAGGATGACAGGGAGATGGTCCATGGCTCCTGCGGGATTCTGGGACGCTATAGAGATAAGGAGGCAGCTTGAATCTGGGGTGGTTGTCTTTGCCCCACACCATCAAGGAGACATATGATGTGCCATTTCACATTTTGTGGGCCTCTGTTTCCTCATCTGTAAAGTAATAAGAGGAAAGGATGAAGTAGATTATGTTCTTTAATGTTCTGTATGTTACAATCTATGACAGCCTGCCAGGGAGATTCCAAATATTACCCAGATGCCTGATAAATACAAGAAATCTCCTAGTTTAGAGGATATTACATCACATGAAATCAAAGCCAAGGTCAAGAGATTTCATCCTCCCAAAGCAGAGTGCCTGCACATGAAAGGCATTGAACAAAAGCTTATTTAATTAAATTTAAGGTTTGTTTAACACTATGTGGATCACATAGTGATCCCTCCCCCACAAAAAAAAAAAAACAAACCAGAAATTTTCATACTGGCATTTAGAATAAAGTGAATTTTTCTAGAATAGCTGAATTTCACCTTCTTAATCATTCAAAACATGTAAAGTTAGAAGGAACAGCTAGACCAAGGTGGATATAGAGCATTTTCATTTTCATTTTTCATCTGTCTAATCATTTCATGTGCCATTTGCCTAGATAACTAAGTTTTTTTGTAATGATAATATTTATTGAACAGAATTTGCTTACAAGCACTGGGCAGAAACACTTTCTTACTGTCAGAATGGGAAATGTCTGTGTACATCAGCAGTTTACCTAAAGGGATTTTTAGGGTCTCAGAAAGATCCCACTTATTTCTCTACCAGTCTGCAATCCGTTTATCAGGAAAAAATCTTTTTTCCCAGTAATTAATGACCCCAGGGAAAAGCAGCCTGTTAGTGCAATAAATTCATAGGGAGATGTAAGATCAACAGTAGGTTCTTTCTTGGAATGAATATTTGGTAAGGGGTGGGATATTCAAAAGCTCAGTAGGTGGGAAAAGAACATGAAAAAATGATCTTCCACATTACTCTGAATAGAGCAAACTCTTCTGCGCCCGTTGATGGCATTGAGGAGCCATCTGCACTGCTCATAATACTGAAAGGTAATGCCACTCTGAATTCACTTAGCGTGGTTATCTGCATGTGTGCATGCTATGCTGCTTCATTCTTGTCTGACTCTTTATGACCCTGTGGACTGTAGGCTGCCAGGCTCCTCTGTCCGTGGGCTTCTCCAGGCAGGAATACTGGAGTGGGTTGCCATGCCTGCCTCCTAGTGTGATATACTGACTGTGCTGTGCTGTGCTTAGTCGCTCAGTCTTGTCCGACTCTTTGTGACCCCACGGACTAAAGCCTGCCACGTTCCTCTGTCCATGGGATGCTCAAGGCAAGAATACTGGAGTGGGTTGCCACGCCCTCCTCCAGGGGAGTCTCCCCCACTCAGGGATTGAACTCAGGTCTCCCACATTGCAGGTAAATTCTTTACCAGCTGAGCTACCAGGGAAGCATGATTATGCTGACTACCTGTTTATAAAATATATTTATTTCTGGTGGATTCTCTAATTGGTTTGCTCCCCTAACATTTCTAATCACAGTTCTGTCCCTAATTAATGAAGCTATCTTTTGCTGTTTGGGCCTTAACTATAAAATAAGAGGATTGGACTTTAGTAGTTTCCGAACTGTGGTCCATGGAATC